GTTTTATTATTTCATAAATTAATATATATATATATATATACACTAAATAAAGAAAATTTCTTTAAATTAATTTCATTTTAATTTAGAAATTCTATTTTATGGCGGCGCAGAAATATAAATTTTAAAAAAGGTGCTTGTTATCAATTGATATGAATAAAATTACAATAAATATATATCAAATATTTTTATGGATTTTTCAAAACTTCTATTAACTATATGAAATTGTCATAAAACATACCAGTAGTCTCTCTATGAATTTAGTGGCGATCAGTATTGATAGTGGCAGCCAAATATCGGTAGCACGCAGGAGGCTAACAGCCCAAAACGGCCCTGACGCCACAGGCCCACCAGTGCCCAAGCGGTTCCGTTCCCTAACACTGGAAGTTCGGTCGAGGGTTCGCACCTCGCCTAGGACGGGCTGGCCACGTTGAGTTTTTCAGGTTTTCTCCACGTCTGTAACGCCTGAATAGAAGCCAGTTACCCTTAAAAAGACTTCCCGGAAGGCATCCCTCTAGGCAGATCGTCTAAGTGTTGCGTTGCCGTAACTTAACAAAACTAAATACGCCACTGTCGCTGATCCCGGGTTCCCCAGAGCAATAGATTGCCACTTTGACCGCCACTTTGACCGCTCGGCCACACGGCTGTCTATGTAATGTAATATGCAGTGGTGATATTCGAAATATTTAACAAAGGGTTCGCTAACAGAAAATTTTTCCTTAACATTTTTTTTTTTTTTTGCTCAAATGGTGCATTAGCAAGATTAGCGCAAAAACTGAACTTAAGATACTCATATAAATAAAAAAGATGCGTTCACAAAAAAAACAAATTATAAAATATTTCATCCATTCTATGTTTATGCCAGAGCTATATAATAGCTTGACCGCTCGGCCATCCGGCCGCTAAAAACCAATTAAAACTTAAATTCTTTTTGAACGACCGCGACCGTCATTCTCTTCGCGACAAATTTGTGGCAACAGCTACGCTTTTTAACGAGAAAGTGTAGACGGAGAGATTTCCATTATCGGCAACAACAGATGCGGCGATATCTTTACGTAGATAGTCGATAAGGCAATCTGCAATGCATTAAGGTGATATGCGACACGAGAATCTGTGCGAAGTACCAATGTGTAATGGTTAGCACTCGTGATCCGAGTTCAAATCTCGGTGGGGCCTTTTTTTTTCTTCGCCCCTGTCATCGTTCATTGAAGGCGACAGCGACAGTAGAATTCATTTGCTTTGAATTAAGAACAGAAACTCTGTTTCACACACGTGCGGAAGTTTCTGTTCGACGCTTTGCAACGTTTCGATATGTTTATTCTACTTTAGCGATGCTTTCAAAACGGAATTCAACGTGCTGCAAAGTTCTGATCCAATAGCATTACTGTTTCGAATCAAAAGAATTACAGAATGTCTTCCAGGCGCTTACGTCACACTAAAATAGACATTTTCAATCAGCCGCTCATAAGAAAAGCTCGTGTCAGGAGTGGGTTTCGAACCGATGATTTTGATTCTTTGTCACTCCTCGATTAGAGCAGTCACGTGCTCCGCTAATTGTTTTCATCAGTGCATTATATGTTTCTACTGTATTTTGAATGTATTTGTTAGCGTCGGATTCCAAAACAGGCCCAAAATTTCCATTATCAATTATTTTTTTCTTGCTTTTAATCTGTACCATTGAGGGTCAATTAACATACCATCTGAAATATTAACTAAATTTTTGGGGGGGATTTTTTTATTTCTATATGTTCGTTGAATTTACTTTTATAAGCATCTTTTTTTTAAAGTAAAATTTTTATATTATGTTTATTAATTTGACATTTTTTATTTTTTGTGTGGGTGTACCACGGGGAGTTATTGTATCCAAGCCGAACAGCTGTTTCATGTTCTTTTATTATTACTTCTAATAAACGACTAGTTTCACCTATATAAATGTTTGGATTTTGACAGTTACACTCTATTTTATAAACTATTCCGTGGCTTTTTTAAGATTATCTATTTTATTGTTATGCTGTTTATTAATGTTTTTATAAATGTTATGTCATATTTTATCTGTCAAAGATGGGGCCAAACTAATATTACCGTTTTTAAGGAGATTATTACAATTGTCGAAAATGTTTTTAATATACGGAAAGGTTTTATATTTCGTATTATATCTATTTGTGTAATATTGTTTGTGCCATGTATTTAGTTTCATTTTAGGATAGTCATTAAGAATAAACTTTGTTACTAGCTGTTTTAATTGAATTTCTCGATCTTTATTGTCAAATATTCTTGTATATACGTTATTTAAGTCCATAATATAAGTACAGGTCTTTTCTATGGTTTCTTTTTTATGGTTTCCAGAATGTATGAATGGTTGTTAATCGTTTTATTATCATTACAGGGTTTCTTATATGTTATAAAAGAGAATTTATCTAGGTTATTTATTATAGTTATATCTAAGTAATTGATTTGTCCATTTTTTTCTTTTTCTATATCAAAGAAAAAGAGAAAAATGGACAATATTGTCGTTTTTTTCGTACAGCACTGAAGATGGTTAAGAACTTAAACGAACCGAAATGCATTTGTAGTCCAATTTACAAAATAAAGCTGTTTCTAACCAGAAAACTGAGAGATCGTCTACCAAACTTGTTTTTTGGATTAAAGAGACGTTATACAGTATATAGAAATCCCTTATGTTCATCCTGACGTGGGATTAATTGATTCCCCTAAGTGTCGGCCAACTTACAAATGATCTCTTGCTTTGGACTGGAACGTTGTCTGCAAATGGGTGTTTGACAGTAGATGCAACTATTGTCTGAAAATTTCATGAAAATCCGATCGTTGGGATCACTTTGAATAGAATAAATATTAAAATTCGAGTCGAGGAAGTCGAAAGTAACATAAATCGGTGTCGGGAACCGTGTAAATCTTCCATTTAGAGTAAATTCGAGTTAAGAAAATTCAAGTTTTGTATTAGAAAATTGAAATAAAATTCATAATTGTTTAAAGATTGAAACAGAAAGGATTATTGTTTTAGTTTTCATCTTTACCTAGTAAGTCTAAGGACAAACAAATAGATCAATAGCAGATCAAACTATGGATTGCGACATATTTCGCCGTATAAAATACCAACCTACTGCTCTGGGAGACTGGGGTTCGGCTTCGGATTGTGATTCTAAGGAATTTCGAGCCTGGCCGTACCCATGATGAATATGATAAAAGGTCTTAGAGTCTCTCAGAGACAGCCGAATAGTTGAAGCGATGGGGTTAGCCTAATTCTCTAGGGGACGCGAAATATAATCCGGTCTAGCAAACTCAGGAATTTTCATGGGCAGTCTGTATCGCATATGTCGGGTTTCGTCCCTCACTATCAGACTTCAGTTTCCAATAATATCGACTTTTGCCCCAAGCTCCTCAACTTTAGGGGCACTTTGTCAATCGCGTTGAATTATAAACCTTAAAGTAAAACATAAACTTTTTATTTCATACAAGTTCATTTTATTTACTGAAAAAAATTTATGATAAACACATATTCCTAAATATAAAACAATTAAACATTATTTATTTATTTATTTAAATTTAATAAACGCATATGTATATATATATGCAAAATATATGAACGCATAAAAATATATCTTAAAAACGTTAATACTGTATTAGATAAAACAGCTTAATAATGATATAAGCAAGGTTAATATGTATTATAATAAATGAGTACTTAACATTAACAGACAGAAAGCTCTATTCATACCAACTTTGTATCTTATATACATAAAATACAAGTCGACTTTTGATGATAGTGTATAAACGAAAACTGATGACATGCATATCATTTTTGCAGTTTGTATGAAAATTCAAAAGCTAAAATTAATCTCAACATCGAAATTATTTCTTTTAGTAAAGATGATGATGAGTACACGTTTAATTATAACAAAGATGAGTAGCCGACAAAACAACATTATCTTTAACAGTCATTGGAGTCTTCATCCAAGCGAAGATATTTCCTTCTATCATACTTCCTTCGCAGCTTCCAGCATCTTGAATTTGCTCCAGGCTCAGTTGTTCGTCCCAAATATGAACATCGGCTATATCTCCGTGCCACGATTGATCCTCCTTATACTTAGAATCTAGAGCGTCTTGATCTTGACCGATGACCAGTGTGCCACCCGATGGTATCTCTTTGCTTAAAAAATACGAGTAGAGTCTCATAAACTTACATTCTTGTCCGTTTTGATAAACATGAACAGTTTTCATGGGAGCGAACCAAGTTGCGCACAAATGATGCCATTGTCCCGGTTCCCAAGGTAAAGCACATTTGAATTCTGCGTAAGGAACACCGATGTGGAATTTCACTTCATAGTCTGAACCATTTCGCTTGAGATAGATGAATATTTCGTTGTCAAAACTAGAAGTGGCGTATGATATAATTGACAAATGTTCATTATCCAATGAGTAAGGTTTCAACCAAGAACATACGGTGAATTGCCAAAGCGAGGGAAAAGGATTCTCCGCTTTAATTCGAGGAAAATTCGAAGAATTTGAAGGGCTTAAATAGGCTTTTACCACAAATCCCGTTGTAAAACTAATCTTGCATATTACAATAAGTAAAAAAATCGTTAAAGGGGACATTTCGTAAAACTCAAGAAAAATGCACCAAAGACTTGCTCTTGTACTCGAGGAAGTTACAACCGTTGTTTCTTCCACCGAACTGAAAGATATCTTCGTATCGAGACTTATAAACAACGACCAGTTAATTTATTTTGGGTGGAAGCCAATAGATACAATCGCTACAGTTTTGTTGATTTTACTTCCTTTGCAATTAATTTTTATTACTGATAACTTAACGGTTCATAACTTTCTAATAATTACACAGATTTTTCTCTTTCTTGTAAATATTAAATTAAATTATTAGAAATTACGAGAGAATATATATTACAGTTTTTTCTTTTATTGTTATTTTACAGTTTTAATACACCCTTATATTTTTGTGATAATTTCTAAAGAAAGTATATTGCAATTTTTATTACATAATTTTTAATGAGTTAATTTTTTCACTCATTTAATTTTCTATAGGACATAATTTATATTTTATAGAATAAAATATGAATTGTAGAAACAAATAGTTTTTAAAATTAGCCTATTATTTTTACTTTCATTTTAGTATAAATTATATTTCTAATCATTATATAATAGTCATTTAATTCAGTATATTATAGTATGTCATACAGTACGATGCCAAATTTTTATTATATTTCTAGTAATTACACTGTTAGAAATATAATGAGAATTTGGAAAATTTAAGTGAAATCAAGAAGTCAATTAAAGAAAATTATATTACAGAAAATCGAGAAAAGAACAAACATTAAATCGAACTCCTAATGTCAGGATTTCTTCTGGTGTGGAAGTCCATATGGAATTCTTTCCTCATCATCATCGCGTACCCGATTTAACTCGTGACAGATGTGTCAAAACACCCTGGTTTACGTTCTGTGGGCTCTAATATTGTAAAAATTATCAAAACTGTAATGAGATGATGATTAATAGGTGCACATTCTTTAGGTAAAATTTTAAATAATTTTGCAATTATATAAAATGAAAGTTGTAAATAGTTTTTTTTTTTGTTTTTTATGAAAGAATTTTAAACATTTAACTTGTTTAGTTATTTTCCTTGAATTAATTGGTTTTAGTTTATCTGGAATGTTATCAGTATCGTGTTTAAAACAAAAATGGCCATTAATTCCAAGTAAAGTTTACATAAACGGTCAAAGTTCTTTTCCCGTCTGAATATACTGAAATTTATTTTTGTTCTATAGTTGCACAAAGTATTGCAATTAACGTTAAATCTCATTAATTGCAAATAATTGATCAACTGTTAAGCTTACTGTTAGCCTGTAAAATAATCTGTAATTTTGCAAAATTTATTTTAATCTGAGGGTTTATGATGTTCAAATGGGAAATACGCATTACATTTTGTATGCAAATAGTGATGGATCGTTCATGATTGATTCGATGAAATTGAAACAATTGTCGAACTGTTTGAATGATTCGGGATTCATTTGGGGAAAGCAAATCGATCACTTTTCGAGTTCCCTTATAGATCATTCTTTCCGAATGGATTATAATCGCAGACAGAATCGAGTGTGCTATTATTGTTTTATCTGTTGCTTCGAAGGTTTAATCGATTTTTTATGATACTTTCAAGGTTTATACATTTCAAATTTTGTTGTAGTTAGCGTATATTTAAGTAATAATTGTATAAATATTAATTTATTTTCTAAATTTGTTTATATTTACTGCTGTTTGCTACAATAAGAAACATGCATGGATAGACGCATGTTGCTTGGTTTGGTTTTATTCATATATGGCAACGCGATCTGCCGAGGAGAGAATGCCTCCCAAGAGGCATTTGATAGGAAAATTGTCCTATTCAGGTGTTACAAATGTGGAAAAACCCAGAAAACACCGCATGGTCAGCCTATTGGCGAGATGCGAACCCACAGCCACAGCCGAGTATCAGTGTTCGGTAGTTTTATCCACTCGTACACTAGTGGATCATGCTGTTTGTTTTAGTTTGACTTTTGCTTATTAATTAAATTTCATCAACGATATGCTTTTTGTTATTGGCAAAATTTGAACAGGAAATAATTTGATCTGCATTATAAATGTTCGTACTTAAGGAAACGTTATAGAATAACCCTAATTAATTACTACTCTCTTGCGGGATTGAAGACAGATGACATGTTCACTCAAAATATAATTAATTAATTAAATGGATTATAGCCACAATAGACTAATATTGGTAAAATAATATTTAAAAAACTAGAAGCATTAATTATACGATCGGAACATTTTAGACCCAGGCAAGAGACTCGAACGACATAGACCCCTATATAAACAGATTATGGTCAACTGGGGGTCAAAATTTGATTGGATAGTGCCGATCACGTGGTTTATGGATGCCATTATGAGATTAGCTTCGGATCCGCTTATGACAAGTGAGTGTCAATCAGCTATTTATTATGATAAATAATAGAATTGGAAACTTTATATACTAGGTAATTTCGATCTAAAATAGATTCTAAACATCGAGTTAGTTCTTACTTTACTATACTAAGGATAGAAATCAATATTTTAGCCTTTAAATCTGACGATACATCTATAGGCCTATCGCTCTTAAAGCTACCATATAAAAATAGATCATGCCAGGTTTTTCAGCCATTAATTGCTAAAATAGAGCTCCTAAATTCGAACTGCATCGATTTCCTAGTGATGAAGCTAGAAAAAAAAACATGGGCGATTAAAGTAAACAGGCTGGATGAAAATGAGAAATTATGGATTCCTGGAAAACATGCATTACTTTGTGAGGTAAGAATCAGAATTTTTATGAGAACTGCTTTGCCTACCTATTTAATTGTACATTACACATTAATAAACTAAGGCTAAAGTGTATTAAGTCTGTTAATAGATTTTAGCCTTTATAAGTATATTGGTTTAGTGAAATGTGAATATTTACAATTAACTCTCATAGGCTCATTTTGAGAAAGATCAGTATGAGAATCACAGGAAGGATGGAAGAAAATTGCTGAAGCGTGATGCTGTGCCTACACTTTTTTTCTCACAGATCTGCACCTAAAAGAAGATGCTCTGGACCAAAAATAGGACATAGAAACAATTGTAAGCGTATAGATCTGACCAATATTACACAAATAGATATAATACGAAATGTAAAACCTTTCCGTATATTAAAACATTTTCGACAATTGTAATAATCTCCTTAAAAAGGGTAATATTAGTTTGGCCCCATTTTTGACAGATAAAATATGACATAACATTTATAAAAACATTAATAAACAGCATAACAATAAAATAGATAATCTTAAAAAAGCCACGGAATAGTTTAAAATAGAGTGTAACTGTCAAAATCCAAACATTTATATAGGTGAAACTAGTCGTTTATTAGAAGTAATAATAAAAGAACATGAAACAGCTGTTCGGCTTGGATACAATAACTCCCCGTGGTATACCCACACAAAAAATAAAAAATGTCAAATTAATAAACATAATATAAAAATTTTACATTTAAAAAAAAGACGCTTATAAAAGTAAATTCAACGAACATATAGAAATAAAAAAATCCCCCCAAAAAATTTAGTTAATATTTCAGATGGTATGTTAATTGACCCTCAATGGTACAGATTAAAAGCAAGAAAAAAATAATTGATAATGGAAATTTTGGGCCTGTTTTGGAATCCGACGCTAACAAATACATTCAAAATACAGTAGAAACATATAATGCACTGATGAAAACAATTAGCGGAGCACGTGACTGCTCTAATCGAGGAGTGACAAAGAATCAAAATCATCGATTCGATCCCATATTACACAGATGTGCAGCAGTTTTGGATCATACAACCGGCTAAAGTCAGCACAATACCCTGTATTTACTGGCAATTTAACCTAGCTGCAAAGTATGTCTTAATTTAAGATAAAATTAGGAGAAATTATTTTAACTAGATTAAAAATCTGCTATGATGTAAAAATGTTTTTAGCTGAAATCCTACTGAAGTCAGTACTTTACCTTACAAGTTAGTTATTGATAACTCGTGTGATTTTCATAGACAGCACAACTTTTCATCGTTCTTCTATATTTTATTTATTTAAAGTAAACGACACTATGGCCATTGGCCTTTTCCAACTGTAAAAAATACATACAGTAACTTATATAAAACACAAACAATTAACAAAGAAATAAAGGAGAGAAAAAACACAATTCAGTTTTTTAACAACTTTTTAAAATTGTTCCTAAGTTCTCAAATCTTTATATTTAACAACTGAAAATAAAGATGTAAATTTACACATACACCAAGCAATTTTTCACCATATCTTAAATTTATTTAATTTAAAATATATGCTCTCAATATCAAATTAATAATGTACTGCCTCGCCCCCGTACATCATACTTTTCCTGTTAACAATAGATTCGGGCCTGTCCTCTATTTAACTCCTTTCAAGAAAAGAGTTTTGAATTGAAATAAAGTGACTTCTGTCTTGCATTAGAAGTTCACATATAGTTAATCGGGACCTCCCGCCCCTAATTCCAATACTCTGGTGTCAAAACGGAAAAACGACTCGTAATTTAACGTCGACGTTATCACTCAGTCGGGGGAAATTTCATTTCTTGTAAGAGACAAAACATGTCATAACTTCTTTCGAAATTCTGTAAACTAAACAATTGCAATTGAATCATCGTTTAGTTAGTTAAACGTCGGCCTGTCATAAAACTGCTTGAACATAACGAGAAATGAACATTATCCATTGTTTAGGCATCAATCGTAATCGCAGGATAACGTCAGGATGGCCGCGCGGTCTAAGGCGCCAGACTCAAGGTAGACCCTTCCCGTAAATTCCGGAGAATGCATTCCGGTCGACGATAGTGGGCGTGGGTTCGAATCCCACTCCTGACACGAGCTTTTCTTATGAGCGGCTGATTGGAAATGTCTATTTTAGTGTGACGTAAGCGCCTGGAAGACATTTTGTAATTCTTTTGATTCGAAACAGTAATGCTATTGGATCAGAACTTTGCAACACGTTGAATTCCGTTTTGAAAGCATCGCTAAAGTAGAATAAACATATCGAAACGTTGCAAAGCGTCGAACTTTCGCACGTGTGTGTGAAGCAGAGTTTCTGTTCTTAATTCAAAGCAAAAGAAGTTTCTGAATTCTACT